GGTAGAACGAAAGTCAGTGCAGCTTTGAGCAGATTTTATTCAACAACTTCCCTTCTTTCTTCTGCCTATTCTGAGCTGTAATAACACCCATCATTGCAAATCAGCATTATAGAGCCTTCTTAGGTTGACCTCAAAAGAAAGTGGACTGGAGGATGTAGAGAGTGATCTCAGACCTGTTAGAAACATGTGAAACCTTTTAAGGTAACTCAACCAGTTGTCTGATTGACGTGAGGTGACGCAGTAACGAGAAAGGTGGTCTTTTTAAAGGAGGATCAATGGTATCATCTTTTCCAAAGCTGACTGAGGGAAAGGATGGCACATAGAGGCATAGAGTTTCATACCAGTGTCAAAAGAAACGGAGCCACCTTTCAGCCTTTTTTTCTACTTTACCTAATTTTTCTGCCTTCATCTTAATGCCTTGAAGTCTCCTCTTCTGTTTCTTCAGCTTCCATAGCTTTACCACTTCCTTTTTATTTTTTTCTGCTCCCCATCATGTGTCTTCCATACACCATCTCACCCAGCCCGGTCTTTGCCCTGACAGCTTGCTCATCCTGTTTGTGTTGATTACATATTTGAATGATTAACATTACATGCACGGCGAGCAGATTATGATAGCCTTTGGGGAGGAGCAGTTTCTGCATGATGGGAAGTTTTCAGCCTGATGGAAAACACGACTGATAAGCAGGATTTAGTAGAAGAGGCGGAAAGGTGGAGTACAAAGATCTCATCTGCGCTCAACTTTTTATCATCCCCAGTACTAATACATGTGTAATCCTTAGGATTCTTTACTTTTGAAGAAAAACATTAAATTGACTGTTAATGGGACAGTACACTGCCTCAAAATAGTAAAATACACTTTAAGTTGTAGATTTGAGAAAAAATGTCAAAGTATAATTTTGCAAGGCACTGTCCATATAACATAGTAGAGATGCAGCAGCCAGTTTTTTACTAAACATAAACACAACAAATTTGGATTCAAATATTTAGCTTGATGCCTGAGGAGCACATTTTCTTAATTTTACCCTACTTACCTAAGCACACAGCCTGACTTCCTCAAAAACATTCAATCTTGCTTCCCCCTAAAGTGCATCTTTTTTCATAACGAGGCTGAATACACATATGATGGAGCAGCACATAAGTAATTCTGCAGATAGACGGGGGCTGAATTGGTACACACGCACAGAGAGGAGAATGTGAAAGGCAGATCGTTTTCCAAATGCTCATTTTTAGCTTGCGTGTTTTGGGCATGGTGCAGCCGAGCTGACGCGCTGAAACACAGAGTTTTTGACACAATGGTGTCATCGTCGAGGACTGTGATGCTCAGCTCACACAAGCAAAAGCGTTGCACCTGCTGGTAGCACACGAGCGCAGACAAACAAAGTGTTATCAAAAACTGCGTTGCAATTAGTGTCTTTGGGAGATGTCGCTGGGCTTTATGACTCATTTGCCTTACATTGTTTCATTAAGGAGACGTGTGACATATGGTATCCGCTAAGAAAGGCTGACAATCTGGAAACTGCAATGCCTGGAAGTGTCAATTTTTTAGAAGGGTAAAAATAACATGAAAGTTTCTTCTCTTTGTACTCAGTGTTAACGTATTAATTTAATTTAATTATTGTAACTGTAAAAAGTTAGTTCCCAAACCACAACTAATTATGATTAGACTTTTGGGATCTTTCAGCTTATTGTGCTGTTGTAAGATGATGCAACTTCATATAGTAATTTCATCTTTAATTATATGGATAGAGATAAAATAATGGTCTAGAAAACTGCTATTGGCAGCTTTCCAAAGCCATCTTTTCAGATGAAAGTAAAGTTGACATTTCATTTGGAAATCAAGGTACCAGAGTCTGGAGGAAGGGTTAGGGTTGAATCTTCCACAGTCAGTGGTGATTTGGGGTCCACTCTGTTTCCAAAGTTCACAGTCAATGCAGCCGTCTGGCAGGACATTTTTGTCTCTATGCTTCCATTTGCTGACTAGCTTTAAGGAGATGTTGATTTAATTTTCCAGCAACCACCTGCCTTCACTGCCAAAGGTACCGACAGTTTGTTGAATGACCATAGTAATGCGTTGCCTGATTGGCCAGCAAACTATCCTGATGGTAACTTTGGAGAATCTCTATGGTGTATTGTCAAGAACAATACATCTGGCTGGTTGGCAGAACCAACAGAAATACAGAATTTCAGAAGGAATTAATTTTGGAGTTTCATTATCTTTTATCCAAATGCATAAAGATTGATCAGTGAGCAGCACTGAAAATAAAAGCGTAATATATTCACCCTGTGTCATTAATCTACATTAGTTTTACTTTATAAAATAAGTGATGAAAAATATTGAACTTTTTCTAATGTTTTTTTTATGTTCTTCTAGTTAGAAATTCCTCATGACAGTACAAAATGTGTTCAGCACTGTATCCATCAAGACAAGCAATCATGTTCTCTAAACTGATCTGGATAGGGAGGTAAATGCTAATTTTATTGTACTAAAATGTACCTTAACATTCTGCAAGCTGGCATATTAGCATGCTAATATGCTAAATAACATCACTCTCGAGAGTAACATTACAATAACTAGGTTAGCATTAGCATCCTCAATCTGATCGAGCTATGATGTGTTTTGACTGATGTCGTGTAAAATAGTAACATTAAAATGGTAACAGCATGCTATCATAAGCATTAAAAATGATAACATTAGCTTTCAGATCCTCTATTCATGGTGGAGAACGTTAGCCTGTGTTAAATTTCCACAGCATCATGCCAATTACCAGTGACACAGTGAAACATGGATGTAATTTCAAGATAGGTGAGAAGTATTCATATGGTATGTGGACCAAAACTGTTCAGAGACGTTTTGTGTGCTGTTCAAAGGTGTGTGAGATGACACAATCCGCAGTAAAGGGGTAACAGGTCAGTTTCACGTAGACAGATGTTACCTCAAATTTACTGTGTTTACTCCAGTGTATCCTGACTGTTTATTTGACCAACACTTGACACATAATTATGTAGCCCCACTGTGTTGAAGTAATGTTACAGAATGCAAAAGCACTCAGTTCTAATAATGTGAGTAAATGAATGAGTGAACCATCTTGTGCAACATAATATTACGAGCATTTCTGGATATTTTATATTCTGTGGGATGTCTGAAAATTTACACAATGTGCTCATGCATTAAGCACTAAAACCAGCTGCAGTGGAATGTCATATTTACAGTTTTGTAGAAAGAAGCTGTGTCAGTGTTAGTGTGCAGTGAATTACCACTCATTTATTACCACGTGAGATCTTCTAAACATTCAAGTCTGGCAAAAAAAAAAAAAAAAAAGAAGCAAATAAGGCTTACATTTTACCCAACTGCTCCCACTTGGCACCCGTTTAAGAGGTCGTGTATAGACAGGTAATATCTTCACCTCCATCTCAACATTCTGGTGGTTTTACGAGTTGAGCCGCTGTCTCTGTTGGTTACTGTTCAGCGGAAGGTCATAAATGGGCGATTTATGTCTGAAGTGCAGCCAGGAATGCTGATGGTACTGTCAGAGAGCAGAGATACTGTCTGGTCTGACTCATATTTAATGGAATCTGTAACGTCCACAACTCCATGTCCTAACTCATGCACTTCACGCTGTGTGCTCACACAGGGAGAGGGAGTTAACATCCTCCAGCTGAGCAGCGGATATTATATAGAACGGCATAATATGACGGATAAAGATAAGGCTGTAAATTGGCTCCCTTGTAGCACTAAAAGCAGTTTTTGCACTTTCAGCGTCTTGCATCACTTTCCAAATCTAATTTAAGCGCAGAGTCTACTGCCGGCGCCAAAATTAATCGTCATAGCAAGAGCGAAGAACACTTCATTAGCTCCAAGCGTTCCAGTGCAGTCTGCAAAGTATTACCTAAATGAAATGCATGAAATTAAACGCATGAACACAGTCTGACAATGTGATAACTATAACAAAGTCCATTAACGTAACAACAGCTAATACAATGCTACATCGATTAGCACCTACCCTGCCCTCTGTGTCTGGTATCTGGACTTCCACAAACCACCCTTGATAAGATATGGGCATTTTAATTGCTGCTGACAGGGGTCCATTAGCATAGATTCTTGGGTGGCTGTGGCCATGTTTCTGTAAATCATTAAGCTAATTATACGAGCTAATTAATCAGTATGCTTGGAATGAGGTGGAAGAGTGGGGCTGCTCTTTGTTGGCTTGCATAATGAAAGAAGACCACTTTTAGATGGGAAAACTGAGGAAAGGGAGGGAGCAGAGCAGAACTTTGATCTGGAAAGTAAACATGATTTTTTTTTTTGCATATCAAGCACTCGAGCAACGAAGAAATAAACTTGAAAAGTAAGAAGAAATGTGAAGGAAAACAAATCCGCCTTGTTGATGCAGAATATTGGAGATGGTCAGGAGGGGAGGCGTCTGACATCCAATTATTGGTGTCATTTTCATGCAAGATAACGCACAGACTGGGGAAATGTCAATCACCAGTGCTGCTGTGACATTCTCGAATGCGCTTTACTTCTCTAATCTCGGTTAGTTCGATGCTGGACTACAAATAGCGAAGACAGGCATGGGCTGTACGCAGTTTTGACAAGGTTTCATGCACAATTTACCGCTTTCTCAAAAAGCTAAGGTTGTTCTTTAAAGCATGCTGTCACTGTCAAAAATTAATACATAACATGAGAAATAATCCCACCAACCTTTCTTTAGTTTATGATGAAGGTTATGTCAGCACTCGTCGCTGGAGCCCATTTTTAGCTGTTCTTATTATGCACAGTGGGGAAAATCAGTTTATGAAATGTGCTTACACACTTAAAAAAGAATGTGCTGATAACAAAGCTGCGTGTGTGTGTGTGTGAGTGTGTGTGTGCGTGTGTGCGTGTGTGTGTGTGTGGTTTTTCAATTCATGTTTATCCCTGCTTTTGTTTTTTGTTGTATAAAACATTACGATACACTAACGCATAATAAATACTCACCTCTTTGTCTTTTTGCTTCCAGGGAAATTCTGAGGAGTTCTGTTCTGTCTTCGCTCTTTGTCTGAGGCAGCAGTCACAACCGTTTGTTCCAAACAGGGTAAGATTTACATTTTATTATCCTGAAATAAAAAAATTTAAAAAAAGATCATGAAGATTTATTTATTTTTTTTCCCATTTCATTTTTCCCACCAAACTTTTTCCAATGCAACAACAGGCAAGAGCTAGTGCTGAAAAACATTGCTATTTTGGGCTTATAGATTAGCAACTAGAAACAAATTAAATGTTTGAAATTCACAAATCTATTTGCAAAAGAAGTCTTACAGATTACACACTTTGTGTAGATAGTTTCTGTCCACTATAATTCTCTGCTAAAAGTGACACTATGACATTGGAAAGAGCAGTTGCTTCGTATAAGCAACCTTTTTCGTAATGTATTGATATGTTTGTTCTGATCTATGCTTTCTTTTCTTTTTTCTAAATGACATCTGCTCCGGAACAAATCCTGCTTTACAATGGAATCACTTTAGTTGAGGGGCGGGAGAGGGTAACCTCTATCGATGTATGTCTTCTTCTAAACAAATATTGTTCTCCGAGTTCAAATATCAATGTGCCAAACAATATGAAAAGGAAAAGGGTAAACAAGTGAAGCCAGAGAAATCAAATAAGGGGTCAGACAACTAAATGGTGTTAGTATGGATTAATGCACAGAAGGCATGCATGTCTGGACATGATCTATTGCTTAGTCACAGTAAATTGTTTTGCCTTTTGATATTTGATTTCTTGCCACAATTCACTTTGGCGAATAAAGTAAGTTTAATCTCTGAGTCTCAGTCAATGGTGCAATATAAAACTACAACTCGCATTTTATTCAGTCTCGGTTACAGATTTTATTGTTTTGCCGACTGAAAATATCAGAACAGCTCGGATTAGCGAAGCTACAGCATGCTAATGGTGCCCTCTGGAGTGCAGAAATCACTACTGCTGCTGGTGTTTGTTTGTCACTGAGAAGAGAATGCGCCCACTCACACCTCTCCCAGCATTTTGCCTGAGGACTGACAGGTGCTGTCAGCAGTTTGTGGCACTGTGAGCAGTGCAAGCAAACACACACAGAGATGATTCCTGAGGAAAAACAGCAGTGAGCTCACCCGATTCGTGACCCAGAAGTGCCTCACACTCACCCTCGGTGTCAAAATAATTGTACCATTTACCTTCCGCTGCGGTGTCACACATAAAGCACCACTTAACTCTCCACTCATTAGTTCACACAACCACAAAATGCTCCATATGCTCTCATAAATCAGCTCCTCTCAAAAATGTCTCATTATCATCGGCTTAACAGCGGTCTGGTCGGGATCATTAAAAGTGCAGTTCGTGTCCTCTGGAAGTTGAGTGAAGTTACCCACTATCACAGTGGTGTTTTTCAGATCAGTGAGCAGCGCTGCGGTTTTCCCCCCCAAGGATTTGCGGGTGCAGCTGTAATTGGAGCGTTTGTGTTGCTGTGAGTTACTGTTCCCTGGGTAGAGGCCAGCACAGAGCAGAACATTCTTGTACACGTCCAAAGGATTTGCTGTGAACTTATCAAGTGCTCTTGCAGGGAAAGTAACGTGGAGATCGAATCATCGATGGACTGTTTCCTCTTTTTAACACCAGGCTCTTACTTTAATTCTCTTTCTTACTCCCCCCTGCCTTAAAATGTACAGGAGTCCTTGTTTTTGCTTCCCATGCAGTGCACATATGCAATGCTGGGAACAAAAACTAATCCATGTTTCAGATTTTTTCTGGTCTTTTTTTAATCACACTTATTTAAATCAAAATATATGAGAAAAAAATAATGTACAATTACAAAAACAGTTTTCAATTGATTTCATTGTCATAGAGAGAAAAAACTGTCCAAATCAACCTAGGAGCTGTTTTTAAAGAAAGTTATTAAGTTGCAATGTTTTTTGAATCCAATTTCATTTGCCACACCCAGACCAAATAACTTCCAATCCTGTACAATGAAGAATACAAACAACAAGAGCTTGGATGACAACATAAAGTGGACTAAAAGATTAAGAAAGTAGCACTTAAACTAATCTAAGGAAATAAAAGGAAGTATTTTAGATGAAACCATGTAAAATACTGCAGATGTCAGTATTATGTTAAGTTGATATTTTTGAGCTTTACATCATGTTATGTTGCATCAAAAACATAGCTGGAGTGCGCATTTTTGAGAAATCGTTTAATGTTGCAGGGCAGTTACTCAGCTGTTCAAAATGCCTGGTCGGACCCAGCGCTGCCTTCGAGGTGCAGCTCCTCCTCAGAGCTGCAGTTTCCGCCTCACAGAGCATTCCCTCCCCCAGCGCCGCCTCGATTCAGCTCCACCAGCCAGCAGCACTTAGCAAACACCTGGTGGAAATGCACATCTGCTGAGCTCGTTGTACAAGCTACTTCTTAGTGCAACCTTGGTAAAAGTGTTGTTAAAGGGCTAATAGAGGAGAAATGTTGTGCTGACTTCCTGAAGGGAGAGTTCCAGAAAGAGTCAGAGATTTTAAAAAGTCAGAGGCCAAATTCAAATATCAGACATTTTCTTCCCAGTCATATTTGATATATGTAGCATTTTCATGACAAATGAAGATGACACAGTTTCTTGCTTGTGCTATGAAATGACACAATGTGCCTGAAAAACACATACTTACCCTTTAAAGTCAGTGTTCTTCATTCAAACATTAGTAAGAAACCGAGCAAAAGTGGAATTTATGGAGATTCAAAGGGGAAAAGTCCACTGATCAAAATTTAACTGATCCCATATATTCTGGGAAAATATTTTGACCCGAAGAAACAAAAGTGCAACATTTTAGAAGGTGTTGTTCTTGTTATATCTGCAGAAAAATTAGGTTTCTTAGAATTTCTGGAAAAAGTCCATCATAGTGGCATTGGTGTGATGACCTCAAGATGGCATGCTGCTTCAGTTTCTGGACAGACTTCTGCACCTGATGGCTGTAACTGTTGTCTTTCAGAAAATCCCGAAAGAACAAATGTAGCATTGAGTTATCCTTAAACAGAGTGTTTGTGCTTAAAACCTCTCCACTGTGACACAATTAAAACAACTGCAAGAGTAGGTTAAAATTATTTTAAAAACTTATTTTTAAAATAAGTTTCCAGCTCAGCCACCAAGAATGGTACAATTCATTCGAGGTGAATTACTTCTCCACAAAGGGTCAGGTTGGTTTGGCTTCTTCCATTAATACATAAAATCATATTTTTGCATTGATTCAGGTTAACTTTGACTGATATTATAATTTTTGATTACATGAAACATTTAATTATAACAAAAAAAAAAGCAAACTCAGAAACTCTCTTCCACAGCCTTGAGCTGTGCTCATTTTCAAGAATTGATTGGAGCTGTGACGGTAAAGTGATTTAAGTAAATATGACAGGAAAAATATAACTTTGGTAGGAAGGCAAGAAAAAAAAAACCCCTCTAAGTGCAGTCAAGTGTTTGTCTACCTTTATAAAGCATAAAGTAAATGACCGAGGTAGGATCGTCAGAGAAGCTCAGTCTGTTGGGAGTGGCGTTTGAATGGTCTCTCGGAAAAGCATTGAGGCATTAAATTTAAATTGACTGTGCAGCTTCTTTGCAGAGACTTGAAAACACTTCGTAAGTGATGTTTTTAGTGCATTTTTACTTTGAATGTGCATCCATCTACCTGTCATATGTCCTTGTGCTATAAAAAAACTTAATTCAAATCCATAGAAGGTCAGTTTAGGGGAAAAAAAATATCAAAATTATACTCCCCAACCCTATGTAGAAAAGGCTATGATTGCTATTAAGATATAAGATATACTGAAATCATGGATTGGATTGATCTAAATGTCTTTCCACTACTGAAGGCATAAATGAAGTCATGAATTAGCTTATAATAGCATCCAAACTTCTATGTGGTGTGACCTAACTGACCATTGGTCCATCCCGCTCCTTTGTACTGTTAGAGAACCTGATATAATTGTGTCTCCACACTTCTTAGATTTGATGTATTGCTTCATGGTGGGCATTGTGTCCATTTGAGAATGTGTATTCACAACCGGGCCTGTGTTGTGGGTCAGCCCTTGTACAGCCGGCTGGGATGATTTATTATATGTCCTGCAGGGATTTTTACTTTCATGAGGTTACGAGTGACGTGTCAGCCAAACATGGTACACAGTTATTTTTACATTTTGGGGGATAAGGTGGGAGGGCTTCTGGCAATGGGGAAGCTCGCCAAAAGAGCGAAAGCAAGTTCCATCTTTCTACAACTATCAACATACAGCTACTTCTGAAAATAAAACCCCCATCCAAAAATGCAATCTACTTTAATTAGTTCTGTTTTATAATTTATACACGTCTGTTTCGCAGCAAAACATCTAAATACATGAAATTAAGTTCAGTCTAGAGTTAATTAAAATCACCATAAATTACCATGCAAAGCAATAAAATAATTTTTACACCATTTTACTTTTTTGTGTATTACAATAAAGAGAGTTTCAGATGATTTTTTTAATGCCAGTTTGTATGAAGCTATTTATCTCTCTAAGTTCAGTCCATCACTTCAAACCATTGGCTTGGCAGCTCACCCTCATGTGGAGACCTTGAAGAAGAACAGCTCTCTTTAGGGAAAAAGAGACCTCCAATAAATCTTGGCCTAGGGTTGAAAGAAAAAAAAAAAGCAGAGTATTCAGCAAGTGAGTACTTTTTGTACAAGATAAAAACCAAATGTACATGGAGTTGGTGGCAGCACTATATGCAGCAGTAGCTTTGATAAAGAGAAACACAATTAAATCCTCAAGCACTGGAGTGATACTCTAGTTCCATGAAGCAGGCAGTGACGAATGCTAGTTTTAAAGAGAAGCTCCTTCTGATAGAATACCACAAACTCATGCAACATCCTTTAAAAACTTTAAAAACAAAGGTATATGAGACCAGACCTAATCACATCGACTTGTCCGTCTCTCCTAGGTGGGGCCAAAGAGAGCTTTAGTTGCACCGGTGTGTCGGCGAGGTTGGCCTGCAGCAGCAGGGGCGGCATGGTGGCACCTGCATGAGCCTCGATTCTCTTGGTGAGTTTGTGTTCTTTCAAGAAATTGAAACCAGAATGTCATCAGGACAACCGACTGCAGCACTGATTTAAAATAAAATGTTATAATGAAAGCATCATTGTATCTCTTTAGATGAGAGTTCTGAATTCAACCATTGTTTGTTGGATAACAAAGAAGCTTTTGATTAAATTACATAATTCTTCCCCATCTGATTTCTCTTATCTGAGGGCGAGGGAGAGGGCGATAATCTGACAAACAAGATTATCACAATAAAAATTTGCAGCTATTTTGTGATTTCCATACAGTGTTTTAATGTTAATATGGTAAATTTAAAATCACAATCATAATTGATATTGGATCTAAAAGGGGTATTATTGGCAGAGAATGAATAAGAACCGAGTTACATCTATCAACAAAGGAAAAAAAAATGTTATTGGATAAAAAAAAAAGAAAAGATTTTTCTACCCATGAAAAATGGGTAAATCCTTAAACTGTATTCACAATGATAATTATGTTTTTGAAGTTCAAAAATAGTTGTTGCTGAAAATATTACCGATGGTGACTAAGATTATGTTTATAAATAATGGAAGCAGGGTCACATAATTCCTGCTGTTATCAAAAGCTCAGGATATATAACTTCAAAGATCAGCCAATTGCATCAAATTGTTGGCTTAGCAACATTTCCTCATGCTGGGCCTGTTTGTGCCCATCCACAAGCGAGCCTGCCATTAAGTCACAATGAGGGCTAAGTGTCATGGTCAAGTGAGATGGACGGATCTGGCTTTGAACCAGCAACCCATCGTTCACAGGCTGAGTCAATGCGTCTTGGGGGGAAGAAAGTAAATGAGAATAATGGCAGAAATAACTCCACTAATGGCCTTGCTTAGGAAAGAAAAACTCGTACAGCTGTACTTTCTATGAAAAACAAGGATTAAAAAAATACATGCAGTGCATACAAGGAGTACAAAATGTTGTTGGAAGCATTAACTACTTTGTCCAGCAAATGGGCAAAAACAAATGAGATCTGGCAAAGAAACACAGGTAAACACAGAAGTATTGAGGTAGAATATTATGTATCGGAAATATACTTGAGTACATAGTAATAAATATATCAATATTTACTAATCAGCTGATTTTCCCAAGAAAACATCAGGAATTGTGTGCATCTTGTGAAAAAGAGAGAAACAGAAAAAAAAAATTAGGTAAAGAATAAAGAAAAAAACATAAATGGAAGAAACACAAACAGAATTCTGGGAAATATCAGAGTATATTTTGGCCACCGTCCTTCAGTGTCAAACATTCTACGAACAGTATTTCACAAATAACATTTAAACGAGCTTTTGATTGTGGGAATTTGAAAAGTAACCCTCGGGAGCAGTAATGTGATCAGTTGCAAATTCTTGGTGTTATTTTCTCAAATTTAACCAAGGCTCTGAACATCAATATGTGCTCAGAGGGAAGATACACCCTGACCTGAGCCCCTCGCGGTGATGTAGCTGAGGAAATACATTCGGCCTGGTCATAAATATTGCACTGTGAGTACACAGAGGGCTTTTGGGTCTATGAATTATTACGTAGTCCAATGGCTCTGCGCCAGCCACAGAGTGTATCTCGCTCAGCTTTCGCTCGGCAGTAAGCTGCGGCCGGGGAATTGCGGTTATAGGCCCAGCACATATAACTGCCAATGATACCGGGAATCCATCACGGTCATCCCACATGTTGTGGTGTGTGTGCTGCAACATGAGCAGATGCAGGCACAGTTAGTCCGAAAACAAACAAAACAATAAAAGCAAAGTAGGAAATGCTGTCGTTCTTCCGTATTTTCAGAGTAGCAAGTCGAAATGGATCTATTTGATATACGTCAATGCACCAAGTATATGGAATTAGCCCACCTTTCTGGGTTTTGCTACTAATTTGGTTTTCACATGCATGAGATAACTTTAGGCTCTGTTGAGTTACACAATTGACAGTTAAACGCACCGGATTATACCAACACAATGAGAGCGAAAGGAGATCAAAATAAACATCGAAATGGAGGAAAGAGGGATTTCTGTTCGACGCGCTACGTGTTCAGACTGAAAAAAATGTTGGGCAGGTTGGGCTCTTCTGGGTGATTAGCAAAAAAAAAAAAAAAAAAAAAGAGAAGCATAATCTCCAGACTGCTGACACATTTCTTTTGAACAGCGCCTGTCTGAAAAAGGCAGATATGCTTAAATAAAGAAAGAGAAAATGGATGAAATCTGTGTCGGGTCAGATAGCAGCCAGCAGCTTTCCGGAATAAGTCTCTGCTAAGCTACAAACACACAGGATTAGGAGCTGAAGTACTGGCCGCGAAAGAAAAAAAAAAAAAGGAGGACAATATTAAATGATTAGTGACAACTTAAGATAACCTTTAAATTACTTGGTTAAATACTGCCCACAGTGTGCGCTCTATGAACATGAAAGAGCGAAGTTGTTGAAGGACGTGCGCTGGGTTTAATATTGAAGCGATTCCTAAAAAACATATTTCTTTAAAATAAATCTCTAGTGCGAAGAGGAAGCAGCTTTGTGATCAGAGGAGCTACGTACTGGTGGAAGAGACTTTACGTCTCATACACTGTTAATGGTTGTTGGTAGCACACTTGTTTTTTTTATTATTATTCATGTAATTATTTGGTCAAGTTTGTGTTCAAAAGCATTGGATAAGGTTGTTTTATATAGTGGCATAGACATATATGCCCTGCGAAAATATTTACACCCATTGAACTTCCACATTTTGTCACATTACAGCTCTATACTTGAATCGGATTTCATACCACAATCCTACACAAAATGACCCACACCGGTACTTGATCAATTATTAGTGTAGTAGAAGAACTGCATTGATAAAAGCAAGTTAAAAGAAGATCATTTTGCACTTCCACAAAGTCATGTCAAGAGTAGGAAACTTTGATCAAACCCTAACCCTAGATCAATGTTTAACTATTTTTACATAGCTTGTGAAGCACATTGTGTTCCAGAAAGCTAATGCTGGACATCAAGTTAAAAAAATAATATTCCAGCAATTGTGGCTACATCGTATAGAGGGGACCTTTTCCTTCAACAGGAGCAGAAAATCTGGCAAGAGTTGAATGGAGAATGAATGGTGCAGAACTATTTGCTGTAACTTGTAAAAACAAACACAAAACCACAGACAATTTTAAAAATGACTCACCTGGTTTGCAAATGTGCAAAAAAAATAAAGATAAAAAAACTAAACAGGAGCGAATGTCTGACATGTTCAACAAATTGCTTCAGCTCTGATTCGGAGAGAATCTGCCATTACATGGCATTAAATAACCACAAGATGGCGCTACACATCATCATTTCCGTTTGGAACAACTCAACACTTGATGCGAACAACTGAAGCATATCCATTAACGCTGGCTTCCATCAACTTTGCTATGACAACCTATATACATACTTGCAAGGCAAACTTTAACATATTTAGGCTCCATGAACTGATTATGGATCACAGAATAGGCTCATAATGATTTCTTTTCAAGTTCAGTCATTGAATGTTAGTCAACACCTTTTATTTTCTATTCAAACAAAATCGCTGCTTGCATGTACTGCAAATAGGGAGTCATGATAGAAAAACAGACTGAAATTACAGTTGAAACCAGTAGATGGCAGTCTGTCTACACAGAATCAGACGACAAAGTCAGAGATTTTGTCTTCTGACTTGGCCTTCCTTCCTCAGCAAAAGTTCCTGAGTGGCACCATCTTTGTGGAGTATGATGTAAATTAACCCTGGAAAGAAACCTTTATTGAAGCTGTAAGAAAGTACAAGAGAACAGATGTGTGAAAAAGATTTGAATGACAGCTGCATGCACATAAACTCTTTTGGTTTTATTTTTTTCCCCTCCTTGCTTTCTTATTTTTTTCTTAGATCTCTCATGCTTCATCTCTCGCACTTTTACAAAGCCAAATGGCATCACAACCCACCATTTGTGCACGCATGCACACCTCCCCGCCATCTGTGAGTGCAGCGGCCCGTGTCCCTTGCACTGGGAGCGGTCGGGGAGCAGAAGAGTGAAAGAGAAAGTGTCTCCTGGCTCTCCGGCGCTCTCCAGTTGTCCCCCCTTGCATCGTTGTCTGTCAAAACGGACACGCGACAACATCACCCTCGTCTTTCTCCGCCATCGTGTCACCTGAGCGCTCCACAGTCACAAAAGTGCATTTCGGCTTTGTTCATTAACTACACTCACAAATGTTGGAGCTCGGTGGGGGGGGGAAATAAACAAGCGCCAATAGTTAATTTATTAAAAGTCTCAGTGCCACAGATGGTACAATTACAGCCTCTATTTCTTCACCAGGCAGACTTATTTAGCTGAAAACACAGGGCACAGAGAGTAGATATTATCTGTCAATATTACCTCTCCCTGAGATGTAGAGAAGCAAAGTGATTTTCTCAGCATGGGTCTTCATTGTATCTAACAGCACGAGTTTATTGTCTCTGTGAAAACAAAACACATAAAGTCAGACACTGCAGTGCTTTCACCTAAAGGTGATTAAAATCAGCAGTGAAATTGGTGATGGTTATTTTCTCAAGCTGGACCAAATTTTCAGGGTTTTAAAAAACATCTGTGCATGCAGGTTCTGCAGTTTTCGCCTCTTTCTCAGCGTCCTCCTCCCTTTAGACGGCAAACAAGTGCCGTCATAAGAGCCATTTTCAGCAGAAATGATAAGCAATCGGCAAGGGGTCCGTCGGGAAACAGCCTCTGCCTGTTCTTGTATGTGTTTGTGCTTATGTATATGTAAAAATTGACAATAACAAAAAAAAAAATGAATTGTTGGAACTATTACTTAACAGGTGAATGAATACGAGTTGTTATGGAATGACTTGGGGGGTCAGGAAAGGAGCAGCTGCTGCAACAATATAAAGAAATGAATGGATAATTGCAACAATTTTGTTCTGGCTTGAAAACTGAAAAAGAAAAAAAAGTGGAATAATTTTCTATGTAGCGCCAAAGTATTCTAATGCAACCAACTTTTTCTTGAGCCACTAATCCTGTATTAATTACTGAATTTGTACAATGGCAGGTGCGTTCAGTTTTTTTTTTTTTTTTTTTTTCCATAGGTGTGTACGAAAACACAGCTATTACTGCAAACTGAATGAAGATAGTTTAAATGTCATAATGACTCAGCATGTTATGGAACCTTATTTTCTTGGAATGGTGGGAAAATGCTCTGGTTCATTCCAGCTAACGTGGAAGTTTCTTAAAGGTTTACGCTTTAGCATTGATATGCAGTCCATGCTGAAGGTAGAAAGAAAGCAGGATTAACAAAATGGGGCCTCAATTATGGTAAAACTAATTTTACATATTTCAACTGTACTTGTTTATAATAGTTTGACAATCAGATTGTTTTTACCCTACCTTGAAATACAAAATAGTCACAACAAGAAGGCAGCAATACTTTCTAATAATTGTTCTCTCACTGTTATCATAGCTCTTTTGATAATATTGTTTTTTGATTTGTCTAGCATCCTAGCATGATAACGTGGACATAATGTTAGTAAGATTAGTCTTACTATGGTAATGTTAGCTTTATCTTGCTAACATTAGTGTAACATGCACAGTGCTTACCTTAATATTTTAACTGTTGTCTTATAAGACAGCAGTCCAGCAGTTACGGTGCCTGCTGCATACAATAATTACCCATGAAAAACTGTTAAGTATCTCAGAGCAAATAACTTTTATTGTAGTATATATTAAAGCCTAATGTTAGCCTTCCAAAAGCTGTTAGTCTTGGTGTGCTAAAACAATTTACCGGTAATTAACATCCTTTCTTTAGACTTAGCATGCCTCCATTTGCGGATGTTAATTTGGTCTTAATATACCAGTCTCATATCTAAAATATTAATGTTAGTCTTTGCATAATGATAATAGTAATACTAGTAATAATTTATATGCTGAACTTATTTTTTGCATGATAAATATAGCCTGAATGTCCCAACTTCATTCTTAAAATCCTAATGTTTGCCTGAATGTGTCACAACAGATTATCGTCTTTATTAATTGAAGTAATGTACTGAACATCTGAATAGCAGGCCTCATTAATGCCTGAGTCACTGTATGAATGGCCAATTTGACAGTTTGACAAAAGATTGTGTTATCCCTTCTCATTAACTGTTTTGGAGAAAAATAAGCTTGATAACAACCAATGTTGTGTTTAGCCTGCTGTAAAAAGGGTTTGTAATGTCCAGACCAGTAAATCAGGCCCATTGAGGTAGCATAATGCCAATGATTATGACAACCAGGCGCAGGGGAGTTATAGAAGGATGCTGAGTTATGGACTGGTGGGAAGGATGCCCAGAACTAAAGAGTCTCACCAATTAAGAAGAAGTTTGATTTAATGCAAAGTCCCCTAGACTTACTCTGCATTACATGACAAGAATATATGTTACGTCACTGAAAACAAACAGCGCAGTTTTTTTTGTGGACTTTTTAAAAAAAGAGCGTACTTGGGAAAAAAATGTCATACTGAATACATGTTTGAAGTGTTTTGCATTGATAGGCAATTCATCATTTCACGATGTGACTCCAGGCTTTTAGTTCAATTTACTGTACTTTTTGCAAAATACTGTCTGGAATCTGTTCTGTTCATTCTACTCCTCTTTGTGTAAAAAAAAGAAAAAAAAATCATTCATTCATATTGATTGCCGGCCATAATAATATAATCAGACATAAAGCCTGACAAGGCTGGCTGCTCCGATAGATCAGAGCTGCTGACAGTAGAACTATGCACAGGTCATAAACCCTCACCTTCCCTGTTTGACCCTCACATCCATTTGCCTCTGTCCAATATGAATGCAAATAACTCCGGGTTTTTGGTGACATGTTTATGGTTATCTCTGTATCTCCCCCTCGCTCTGCCTAAAGTGCTGATGTCACTGAGCTAATGGGATCGAAAAAGGTAACCTATTGCTCACTGGTGGTCAGCTCGTCCCCTGCTCTCGCTCATGCGGCGCCTCCCCCCCAAAGCATAAACGAAAGCATCAGAGCATGCCCATGCTTGGATACATACAGTATGCATGCCTACATGTCCTCTACCCCAGTCACTTGTGTATGCATTGAGCTGATAAGTACTGCAGTTCATTTTCTCCATGGCAAAGCACAATAAAAAAAAAAAAAAAAAGGGAAGAAAGAAGAAAAAACTCTGGAGCAATAATTGCTTGGAGTGGGGTTGGGGTTGTTGGTTTTCTGTGAAGGTGCAGGGAGGGAGGGACAATACGAGCTTGGTTAAATATGCTTGATTGCTTCCTGAGCTTCGGTGCGGTGTAATGAAATATGGCTACTGCAGACAGAGGCTCCCTTTGCGATAGCTTTCTCGTCACTTTCTTCCTTGCTTTCTCTGGGTTTTTTTTTTTTTCTCCATTGCACCTTTTCCCTCTTATGTCCTGGCATTTTCATCTTTGGCCGACTGAGTCCCTCAAAGCGTTTGTTGCCATTGAACAGTTATGTTTGCTATAATGTAATAATTATGGAGGCCAAATCCAGTCTAATTGAGTATTCCTTACCGATAGAAACGACTACTGCCTTTTCATTATGATCTTCAGTTTAATTTGCAAATTTATTAGCGTGACAGACTGCATTCAAAAGCACTGTGATGGTAAGGAACTCAACAAAACAAGAGCGGTCAGGCTAGAGGGGCCAGAAAGCAGCCATATTCTTACTCGGTTAATTATAGTCATTTACATATTAGAGAGGCGAAGATGATGGTTTAAATATTAAAACAGCTTGTGGGCAATGTGGAAACCCTCTGGCCATTACCTGACTTAGCCTTAGGGAGCAACAACCAATGCATTCTGTTGTATAAAAAGTCTCAAAAAGAACTAAATAAAATCTACCTTCAGTTATCTTTGCCAGTCTTGAAACATCTACGACACAGAGTTAGAAACTTGTCGGTGCGTAATGACACAAATCATTGGACATACTGTAAGATTATTACATTAAATAGAAACGGCAATGAATTAACTAATGTGGAGTTTTCAACCCCACTGTTATATTAGTGACTGTCTTATGACAAAAAATGTGTTTTATTGAAGAGCTTAGTCTGATTAGGTGTTAGCTGTTCTTCCTCAAGAGAATGCCTTACTTCCCCACTCAGAATCACTTCAGAAAATATTATACTGCTGCATATAAGATCCTCACTTGGTAAAGAGCTATAAATCGTAGACAAATACATGCAGCAACAGATGGGGTTACTCATGTTTATTGTGTCAATTATCTTATTGGTCTCATTAATAAATCATATTTTTCTTCAGTCTTAAATCTATCAATCATACTTAAGGGTAAATTACGTTACGTAATCATTAAGCTTTGGTGGCATATTTAATAGAAAGCAACGAGGTGGATGCATCATAAAATTATACTTGTTATTAGAACCACAATATTAACACCTCAACTGAAATTGAATCGTTGTATTGTATCTAGTCCCTAACAGAATTGACTTAAGTAAACATAAAGTAAAGAAACTGAAACAAAGATGAAATTCAACAACTTAGATATTCTAAATAAAACAGAGAATCAAGTATTTTGATTGTTGGCTGATTAAAGGTGAAACTTTGTTTGCTCTCTCTGTCTGAAAATCTCAGAAAGGAAAATGAACCTTGAAGGGGCTCTGTGTGATTTGACTGATGTGCCGAAATTGGTTCTCATTGTCACAGTGGCATGACGAAAATCACATTTTGTTTTCAGCCTCATGTTATCCGCCTCTTCTTCTCACAACACCTCTGGTAAACTTTTTGCCCCCCTTCTGCATTCTTAACTGTTGGATGGTTTGTCAGGATTTGGAGAACATTTATGCAATTAAACAGTCCCAACAACTCAACTTCCAGAAGCTGTTTCTCAGCCTGAAACGGGATGAATAGTTTTGAGGAGCAATTGTCCAAGGCCATGAGGAAGTATGAGGAAGCAGGTGCTGTTGAACTAAAACGCTGAACTTCATCGTCCAGTATGGTGGGCGATCGTCCCACAGACGAACACGACTTGACGTAAACTGACACGCTAAGAAACCTTTCCTTTCACTTATTGTGAACTGCTTTGTTCTGTTACTTTACATAAAATCTCAATTCCTTTGTTCTTTCAAATTAAGTCCATCATGGTGGGAATATTGTAAACAATAATATTCTGTTGTCTGTCACTGTTGTGGAATCACTATTAGCGTTAAATACTGTTTATTTTGCTTGTTGCATCTCTTTACTTTATAGCTCAATCATTACTGCCCCGACTAAGTGAATAAAGTCTTTTTAATGTAGAAATGATCTCCAGTGTGCAAAACTGAATTAACATTGTATTTTCAGTTATTTTTAAGTATAAACCAGCAGAATGCCCTCATCATTCATCGGCTTCCCTGATGTGCAAATTGTACAATGTCTCATCTTGGAAATAATTGTAAAAATCCAATGTTTAATTTTAGTACATTAAGAGGAAAACAGATTTGTTTTACACCTGTTATCACTTGTTCCACACTTATTAGTACCTCTACTAATTCACAATAATTACATTCAATTTAGGTATTTCTTTAATTTATGAATAGATTCTAGAGTGCAGAGTGTTTCCTCAGGAAATTAAAATAATAGATCGGCTTATCCCCTGCTCAAAATAGGAAGGACAAGAGAACAATGATTTTGAAGACTACCTCTTTAATATGTGTTTTTTTTTTTGTTTTAGAAAGCCTGAATAGAACTTTAATCCCTACTCCTCTCTGTCTCTTCTCGTTGATGCAGTTCTCTTTCCTGAGATGTCAACCACAGGATGAGGCCTGAGGCCAGGTGAGGACCTGGGATAACCCCGACTCGCTGTTTTGATCTGTTTGCGTACATTTCCTGCCATTCTTTTGAGGGCGTTCACTGCTGCTTCCTATTAGCATCAGCTGAGGATTTAGGCTGATCTCGTCTGCGAGTATCCATCTTTGTTATGAAGAGGAATTGCCCATCTCGCGTGCCAAGACAATCCAGAGAATATGTCAAGTGATATCCAATCAAGAGTTGAGCTAAATCTCTCGACTTGAGCTCGATCCCTCCCTGACCTGCAGCTGTGTAAGGGGGGGTAGTGGGCATGGGGGGGCGCAGGAGGGGGTGGCAGGAGGAGGCTATATCTGGCAACCTAAACCTTTTTAAAGTGACTGAGGGAGTGAGGAGAACTGACTGGCACTGATGGGACCGGACCGGGATTGCGCGATGCTGGCGTGCCGCGGCGCGCCCAGGCCTCAGAAAGCTTGATTGATAGAGTGTGATGAGACTGTCACAGAGCAAGGAGAGCAGCGCAGAGATAGGCTAGATGGAGGGAGGGAAGTGGGTTGACCAGCGGAGGGAGATAGGGGGAAATAAATTTGAGAACACGTGAAGGATGAAGTGGGGGAATGAAGTGGCTGGATGGAATGTGTTTCGAACACATGAAGGATGGGGAGGTGGGAGGCTTGGAGAGGGGAAGGCGACTCAATGAGATACTGAGAGTCTGAAGGCTTCACTTAGATGTCACTAAGATCTGGCTTGGACCAATTTAGCTACTATGATGGCAAATATGTAAAAAAGAAAAGAAAAAAAAAAGCTCAAAATGTTGAAACAGGTAGATTTATTTTAATACACCTTGTTAAGAATATCTTGAGACAAGAGAAAGTCATCTGTAAGTTTGATTACTATGTTTACCACAAGATAAAATGTTAAATACAGTAAAGAGGAGGTTGATTCTGTTAAAATGTTATATAATATTTTTAAATCATATTTACACGTACAGATCCCCAGGTGTCCCAACAACAAAAAAGCCCTACTTAGCTCCTATTTCCCGTACAGTAAGATGCCCATGTGAATATAACTACTTTACTGGGCCGTTTATTAGTTTATCAGCACCTGCTTTGGAGACTATATTAGATCTTGTGGACACATGGCGTGCTGGCAGTGAATGCAACACAGGCTGAGTTAATGCTCTGTTCTGGGAATTCCACAGTTAGTGAATTCAGACTCAATAAAGGCACCATGTTTTACTTTTATCCTTGCCTGAGGAAAGACGGCTGACTCACCCAGAATGCCTAAGTTATTATTAGTGCCTCACATCTGTGTGGAGAAGCCGCGTGCGTGTGTTTTTGTGTGCGAGAAGCCGAGCTCCAGCGGCAGTGGCGAGTGCATACAGGAGCAGCACGAGGAGCTCTTATCTGCCACCTGCCAAGCTCTGACCAGGGCTCTGATTCCTGCCCCCACTTCCACCCTATCCCTCTGTTCTCGGTGGGGGCTTCCCACCAGTCTGCTATAGGCAAGTCAGCCAGGTGAAATGAGCAATTCCCTTTGAGGGACAGGAGTGCTGCATAGACTCACCGTGTGAAGGGTAGACCGTTAGTTGGGCATTTAATTATATTTGCCACGGCTGCTCTGAGGGAGAGCTGTTGGGAGAGAAAATTTGAGGTGCTTTGCATAACCTCAAAAGACGTGCAATATTGCCATTACCCTTTGGAGGAGAGAGAGCAGCTCCGAGGCTTACCGGATATGAGAATATTCAGCCACTCAAGTGGAAATTTTGCCAATATGAATATTAGTGACAATTGTATTAAAATGCTTAGTGGTGCCAAAATGAATCTAATACTTCAGTAGCGATGAGTCTCATATGTCACACATTTATAACATGGACCTGTTCACACACATATAGAGAGGTTATGATTAATGACTAAATCTTGACCAGACAACCGTATTTTTTTCCCCTCATTTTAATTCTGCAGATGTAGTTTCTGTACATACTGCTGATGTGATGTGTTCAGATTGGGAATGTTTTATATACAAAAGTGTTGCATTAACTTACAGTATAGAACAGCCTTCTGTAATTATTAACTCATACATATCTGATCATAATTTTTGCAATATATTTCTTTTCTAGTTTTCAACACCTTTTGAATAATTCAGGGTCTAACATGACAACGAACCCCAGAACAAGTGTTGTTGTTTGATATGATTTCTAAAGATTGCATCATAAATCCGTTTTGTCCTCTCAAAATGTAATCCATCCATTTCCATCTTTTCAAAAGTGAGTTTGCGATCATTGTCCTGTTGGAGAACCAAGGTGTATCCAAGTTTCACCATGACTTGATTTCCATTTTGTATTACTATATCAATCAATCAATCAATCAATCAATCAATCAATCAATCAAATTTTATTTGTATAGCACATTTCAGCAAGGCATTTCAAAGTGCTTTACATCATAAACACAAGAACACAAAGTCATGCAACATATAATAAACAATACATTGTTACATATTACATTTCAAATGAAACTCTAAACAGGTGTGTTTTAATTGCGATTTAAAAGAAGTCAGGGTTTCCGCTCTTTTACAGTTTTCTGGAAGTTTGTTCTAAATTTTTGGTGCATAGATGCTGAAAGCTGCTTCTCCTCTCATGGAGAAGCAGGGGATGCAGAGCAGACCAGAACCAGAAGACCTGAGAGGTCGGGAAGGTTGATACAACAACAGCAGATCTTTGATGTATTGTGGTGCTAAACCGTATATGGTAAAATAGCCAATTTTTTGTGCTTGGTCAGTGTTGCTTTGAGCAGTAAAATATTTTGCTTGTGTCGCTAGCATTATAGTTGCAACCATGAGCAAAAGCGTGTGATACAGCAGGTGTTTCAAATGAGTTTTCAAATGAGTCAGAAAGGACATCTGGAATTAAAACATGTGCCAAGTCTGAGTGCATGCAGCTGTGGAGTGGGGGAGGATACTGTGCTGTGGCGCTTTGTTCTTATTCTTACACAAATCATGAATACCACTTTGTTTTGTTTGATTTCGATGATGTGAAATGACCTGGTTGACGTTTGATGGTTGACCCTTAAATTTTGGTTTATATGTTCAAAATAAATGCTCTCTGGCAATGAATGATGAATGAGTTAAAAGTCTCAACCTCGACTCCTCTGAACACGTCTCAAATTTGGGCTTGTCTGGCCAGCAAACCTTTCTCCAGAAAGCATTTGGTTTTTGCTTTTGGGCAGCTGGAAATTTCAGTTCATCTCGAAGGTTTTGGGTTTCTGACTCAACGCCCTCTCAGCCCATGGACAGGTAAGAGTTGTTTTGCTGGACAGACAAAGATTTCAGGAGTTCAGATTGGAACTTTGATGTACATTTTAGATTTTGGAAAAAGGGCTAAGTTCTAATAGGATATCAAACACATAATTCACTAAATGATATGCTAACCAATTATTTTTACATGTAAGCACAATATTATTCTCTCTCAGCAAATTTATATTCAAGGAATCTTTTCATTTTCACCAACATGTTTCTTTTGACTGGAAGTAATATTAATTCTTCAATGTACTAATGTGAATATGATAGAGAATACGTAAAGGGAGTTAGAAATGAGAGTGTCGGGAAGGAGCTTGGCTCTCTGCGTTGCTGTGTGTAGGACGGGCGACCTGTTAAAGGTGTACGGTTCTCGCTGATGACCCTGGCAGGATAAGCAGGTATGGAAAATAGTCAGATGAATGTATGCCATGCATTTATTTCATAATGTTGAATATTTTTTGGCCTTCTTTGACTAAAATACCACAAAACAGGGAGACATTTTGTTTGTGAGCAAACGGAAAAATCCGCAGGAGGTCAAATAAATTTGCAACTTTTAGCAACAAATTCAAACGACTACGTCCATTTTTTCCCTTAAAGTTATTGAAGCTCTGATTAATATATATATATATATATATATATATATTATATATATATATATATATATATATATATATATATATATATATATATATATATATTTAGGTAAATCATGAAACCTAAAATTTATCTAAAGTTTAAAACCAATAATGAATGCAGGTAAAACCCTGAACTCCTTAATGTTCTCAGAAACTCAATAGATATCTGTGATGCTCTCTGGAGCATAAGAACAACATTTCTTGGAAAATGAAGCCACTTATGGTTAATCATGAGGGTGCACTCATCTCTGGGTGATTCAAACCACTTCACCTTCAATAACAAGTGTTTGCCAAGTTTCTGCTGACTTCAAATAACATAATGAACACCATTAAAGAAACAATGGCAATGAATATATACGACTCCTACTTAAAACAACCTATTCCAGACATAGTTAGCCTGATTATTATTCTGGGTACTCTTAGAAATCACTCTTTCTCAATGTAATCAAAAAAAAAAAAACATAAAAAGGTAGTTCTCAGCAGCTTTACTATTTAAAGACTAGTGCAATAGATTCCTACTAATTAAAACAGAACACATAATGACGGAAATGTTATATATGAAAGGCACAAGCCAGTGTCTTATAGAAGAGCATCAATTTCAAAGATGAATGCGACGCAGAGATTGATTAAGCTTTTATTGCTGCTATGCAGGGAAAAGACTTATTACGAATCTATACGGTTACAATTTAATTTCCTCTAAAGTATTTAGCTAGTCTCTTTATTCTAATCATCTTTATTCTAATACTCAATCATCCTGTTTCCAGAGCCTCTATGTCTGCACCGAACCGCTCAACACTAATGTATCTTGGGGTGAGACTCCAGCCTGTGGACGACACAGCAGCAAACCTCACTTGATTGTATAGTGAAAAGTGAGCATGAGGAGACAGATGAGCAGAAGGAAAAGGGGAAAAAAAACAAAACAGGGGAGAACACGACCTCTCAGCTTTGATCATGCTCCAACATCTAGAAAGAGTCCCATTTGTGTGCAGACCATGCAGAGACAGGGCCCAGAAAGGTTAAATCTCGATCCTCAGTCGTCAAAGCTGTAATGAACAGTGTTTAGCAGTAATAACATGCACTGTCACATTCCAGCGGGGC